AAAAAAAGGTGAAGAGTACATGAAAAAGGCACTGTGCTTCTGGAGAGGAGGGTCTGTGACATGTTCCCCAAGATGGAAAGGCATGATCCACAGGCCAGATAATGTGAATCTAAGAGAGACCACCAGGCTAGCGTGGCTTGGTTATTTTTAAAGCTTTTGGTGAATCGTGAATTCTGATTTCCCCAAACCCCAGTTATTTTTCTACTTGGTCTTGTAGCATACATTTAGGTGATAACTTCCTTTTTTGCATGAATGCAAATACATTTTATAGCTCACGCAAAAGCTCTGAAGGATGGATGAGTACACTGACTTTCCACCTGACAGGAAAATCCAACCCCTCTAGTGTCTGGTGCAGAAAACTGCTCTCTGTATGAGGGAGCTGCTGATAAGGCTCTGAAGGTTCATCTTCCTGTGGAGTTAAGAGCTTGTTTCTTCTTTGACCTTTGTCCATGCAGCTCTTTCTCCTCGGACATCTTCCCTCCTTCCCTTCCCTGGGGAACTCTTACCCATCTTTCTCCTTCAGCTTACATGCCCCTTCCTCCCACCTTCTAACAACATCTAACAACACTGGCCTACCCGGTGGGTTCTCAGCAGCCTCTCCCTCAGCACAGAGCACAGCATCCTCCACTGCAGAGGTCTGTCTCCAAGGCCTGTCCTTCCTGCTGCTCAGGCGTCTGTGAGGATGACGGGAAGCACTCCCGTCTAGCTCATGGTTGATTGGCCCATCCGGTACCTGGGATGTAACCCATACTTACAGATGTCTATGGAGCCAAAGGCAAGCCTGTATATTTCCCAGGCATATTAAAAAGTAGCTATATTTGTCTGTATCCTCAAATAAAACATTTCAAAGCCAAATAATATGTTTTTAAATCCCCTAAGAGGAAAACAAATTATAGCACCTCTCACTCCTAAATGCTATCTAGTTCTCATTTACAAAGTCGGGCATAGGTTGTTGTTGTTTTTTTTAATGTGGTTATCTTGTACACTTTCTATTCCTAGATGAATGCATTATTCATGTTACACATTCCTGGATAACATAGATACCACTCGTTTAGGTATCTACACACACACACACACACACACACACACACACAGACACACAATCGAACACCCATAGAACACCTAACCATACTCAGTGAGCATTGAGTGACCTGCCTTGGGGAGCAGCCAGGAGGTGAGCTCCCAGCTCGTAGGGCCCACCCACTTGCTGGCTGCCCCTCCAGCACCCAGTGATGAAAATGAGGTCATAATAGCGGTTCAGGTTTTTCAGCCATTACAATGGAAACGTTCCTCTAAATAGGCCCTTTCCCCATAAAGGATAATGTCAAGTAGGAAAAATATCCCTGTGTGAGCCGCGGTCCCCATTTTAGCAGATCCCAAATGGACTTTCTCCATGACTCTCAGCCATACCTAAACAGTCAGCCCCGACACCTGCCAGACCAGACCGGGTCTTTGAGAGGGAGCAGACCCACGGACAGAGAGGGGCTATTTTTGATGTTTCCAAATTAAAAAAAAAAGCAGTTCCACAAAGTCAGTGTCTGGATGAGGCCCACTTAAGTGGTCTTATTCGGAAAGCCCCAGCGATAGGCTAATCATGGGGATGACGAAGAGCCTTAAAAATAGCACTGCCATTGTACTTTCAAAATAGCAAATGATATTCTTCTAATGTCCCAAAACAGCTCTGGAAAGGAATTAAATAGCTTTCTCCCACTGGCAAAAGTTACCAAACAAAGTATAAATTAAATACTTCAAAAATAGTGGCGCTACAGGCTTAGCTGAGAAGGAAGTTGGCCAACATTTCAGGTCCTCTCCTATTGCTCTGCCCAGAATACCTCAATCTTGAGCGAAAAGGATGACACTGGGCTCCTTTTTCTATTCATGCACTCAGCTTTGCAGGGGTAGACGTAGTCCCTATGATGACTTCCATACGAGAAGCAGAAAGAGAGCTAACTTCTCTGTCTCCGAGCCTAGAGGTCAAACAGCCGACACATTACAAGAATGAGGGCAAGAGGTCTGAAATGATAGAGTGGCGAGGTCCCTGAACCAGCAGAACATGATAGAGACTATAATGGATTGATGAATCTGACTCAGCTGGCAACTCACAACGTCGTTTTGGCTGTCGAGAAGGGGACACTGGAATTTTCTTCCCTCGATGCCATTGGCATTATCCTATTCAGTTACTACCAGACCTACGCAGGAGCGAGGGGTACAGGCTGCACAGGGGATGATAAATGCAAATGTCCACTTGGTGGGGAAGACGTGGTCACTGTTCCCAAGAGGCTGGCGCTTGCTACCTTAGATAAACCCGTTCCTCTGAGCAGCCCTCCCTGGATACTGACTTGTCCCAACTTGCCTGTGTGAGGGGAGTGATGGGCTAAAATCAGTATCTCTTTGTACCTGCTGAGCACTTTCTCTCTGTTTTTTTTTTTTAGATATGACTTTTTAAAAAATTAAATCTTTATTGTTGAAAATATTACATATGCCCCCTGTCCTCCCTGCTCCCCCCCCCACATTGACTCCTACTAGCTTGCCCCTACCCCCCACCCCAGGCCTTCACCACCCTATTGTCTGTGTCCATGGGTTATGCATATATGCATACAAGTTCTTTGGTTGATCTCTTCCCACCCACCCACTCACCTTCCCCTGCCTTCCCTCTGAGATTCCACAGTCTGTTCTAAGCTTCTGCCTCTGGATCTATTTTGTGCATCAGTTTATTTTGTTCATTAGATTCCACAGTTAGATGAGATCATGTGATATTTGTCTTTCTCTGACTGGCTTATTTCACTCAGCAAAATACTCTCCAGGTCCCTCCATGCTCGCTCAAGGGGTAAGAGATCCTTCTTTTTCATGCTGCATGGTATTCCATGTGTACATGCATCACAGCTTTTCACCCACGCGTCTACTGATGGGCACTTGGGCTGTTTACATACTTAGCTACTGTCAATTGTAAGCACGTTCTTTCAATCCCCACTTTCACAGTCAGAGGAGGGGAAGAGAAGGGAGCTTAAGCTCCCTAAGGCCCTGTGGGCGGTTTCTCTGGAAACAGCCCAGTTACTGCATGTGTTTCTTGTGTGGCTGCTGAGGTCAATTCGCTGCTCTTACAGCATCTTTCCGTTCCCCTCGGTCTCTGCTGCTATGCTGAGGCTCTGTTTCCCTCCAGGAGACTCTGACGGGGTTCCTGAGTTCCCTGTGGGTGCGGGTGGAAGGAGGACACTTTCGCACCCACAAAACACCAGTGGGCAGAGGGCGCTGCGCCTTCAGAGGAAGCATTGGCATTTGCCTAAAACAAGAACACTCAGTGTTTGTGACGTTAATAATAGGCCTGGGAGGTTTATTAAAGCACAGATGGCTGGGCCCCGCTTTCGGAGTTTCTGACTCACTAGATCGGGTTTGGAGCCCGAGAATTTGCATTTCTTGTCAGCTCCCAGGTGATGCTGAGGTGCCGGCTGGGGGACCACTGAACAGGGGATGCTTTGGAAGAGTTCGGCTTTTAGTTTTCTATCCCAACATATTTCCACTTTGAAAATGCTGGAGCCTATTCATATAACCACAGATTTTTATGAATACTGTGTGCTCTAGGAAAATCCACTTAAAATTTGGTTTCCTAGAAAAAACAAAATCAAAGCAGTGGCAAATTGCAAAATGTGAACTGGTAATAAGCACACGAATGAATAAAACTAGATTCAAAAGGTTGGTGTATATGAATTTTTCTCCCCTACAACCCAGGAAAATAACTGCACTTTATTAATACAGAATAATCACATATTTACCTGCTCATGAGACTATCAACTCACTTTTTAATATAAAGAACATAATTATCACTGAAAAACAAAAATGTACCAACAACATTATTTTTTTAAGCATGGGTAATTTTCCTCTGGAAACTTGATCTATAAATAGATAGGTAGATCTAAAACAGCCGTTCTAAATGACCCCCTTCTATGTTTAAAACTGAACCCAATGCATTTCCCCACGATTTTGGAAACCGGAAGTGGTCTCGAAAGGAATTCCCCCTGAAGGGTATTTTCACCACGTGCTGATTAAAACAGTGCAGTTGTTTCCCATTATTCATAACAAGCGTTTTACAATAAGCTAAACGATTCTAAAGTGAATTAAGTTGCTTACCTTGGAGCCTCGCTCATTAAAAATAATTTCAACATCTAAGATTTTACCAAATTGCTGCAAAGAAATAGAAATATTTTATAAGCAAGAAGAAACATGGAGGAAATCATATTATGCACATTGGTAATGGTACCCCACGTCAGAATCTTCTGTTCTTTTTTAATATACAAGGATATTGCATTTTATTCTGTGCTATCATTAAACGGTGCCCTTGAACCAAGAGAAAAAACAAGCACACGTTATTTCCATGTTACACCATACCCCACAGAGTGGAGAGCGGAGTAGGGGCCTGCCTGGTACAAAATAGGTAATCAAGAGGTTATTTCTATTTTCCTTTCTTTATGTGTGCAGGATGGCTTTCCCAGGCACTGAGCAGCAAAGATTAAACATGGCTAATGTACCTGCCGACCCTTCTAGGCCACTCCACTAATCACAGGAGAAAAACCCTGAAGAAGTGGGATTTGGGTAGTAAAATGTCCAAGCGGAATATGAGGTTGCGGATTTTGATCCCAAGCCCCCATAAAACAGCCAGGCCATGTAAGACAAGTAAAGTACAAACAGATAAAAGCAAGATCCACTACCCGGACGCCCGTCAGAATCCACACACCAGCACAGTTGTGATTAGACCTCGGGCTGAAATATACTTCTCTCCAGATGATTCTCCATGTTGTTAAACAAACAAACATATTTTAGACAATTAGCATGAATGTGCTCTATAAAAATTGGAGGCGATTCCATGTATTCAAGTCTAGGAACACAACTTCAGATGACAAATAAATTGGACAGTCATGTATAATACAGATGCCTACGTAGATTTAAATTTCAAGTCTTCCAGAATAACTATGCCCTGAAAATAATAATACTGGGGATACACTTATTCTTCATGCAATACTTGTTATCTAAACTTCAAATTCAACTAGCATATCTTGTATTTTTTATTCATTTGCTAAATCTCGTAGTCCTCATGAGAAAGATGTCAAGCAATTCTTGATTCACACTTTAAAGAATAAAAAGGAATGTGCACCCTGACACCAGAAGCATCTGATGATCCAAAACCCTTTTCCTTGACCTTGGAATCCTGTCAGTTTTCTTCACTCACATGGAGTCGAGTGGGCGACTTTTGAGAACGGGTGGGACAGGGTGGCATACAAGTAGGCGACATGGCCCAGGGAAAAAAGAAGATGGAAATTTTACCCTGATGCAGAAGGAGAGCAACTGTTCATGTTATTAAAAAATAAACAGGAGACCATAAAGTCATGTTTCCATCTCTTTTCCCTTTATTTTGAGCTTTCCTATTGTTCCACTTGCATCGTTTTTATTGCATCGTTTATTACCATAGGAGACTCTGCATTCCGTCTCTCCCCTGAGTGGAAAGCATGGAGCAGCCTCTTTGCATCAGGGAACAGAGTGGTTTGGAGGGAGGAGTAAGACAGGGAAGGAGCAAGCTGAACACAGATTACTGAGGACAACCTGCCTGACCAGGAGCATCCGCATAGGATGCTGGGAGGCCCTGAGAGCGAGTGTCAAGAGGGTCCCACTAACATTCAAGAAAAAAAAATTCAGAACATACAGAGGCTGTCCACTGAAACATACAAACTATCCTACCTTACTTGGAAAGACAGAAAAACATATGCATACTCTAGGCCACTCCACTATAGCAATATAAATAGCTCAAAACCTTGAAATGAAAATAGTTCTTCCTACAAGAAAAAGAAACCCAAAGCTATGTTATCCTGTGCCTTTGAAATATGCCCATTGCTCAGAATATGTACCCAGGAAGGACATCATAGAGTGTAATTTTTCTTGTTGAACACAAGTGCTTCTCTACTTCCCAAAGGATAGAAGGACAGGAAGGCATCAAGAAGACAAGGCTCAACTAAGAGAGGAGATGGAAGGATGCTAGCATGTACAGGTTCAGTTCCAGACCTCGGCAATAAAGCAAACATAGCAATAACACAAGTCACAAATTTCTGTGTTTCCCAGTGCATATAAAAGTTACGTTTACACTATACTGTAGCCTATTAAGTGTGCAATAGTGTTATGTCTAAGAAATGTACATATCTTAATTAAAAATACTTTATTGGCTAAAAAATGCTATCATCTGAGCCTTCTACAAGTCGTAATCTTTTTGCTGGTGGAGGGTCTGACCTTCAATTTGTAAAAACAATGCCCTATCTGCAAAGCACAATGTGGCGAAGTGCAATAAACGAGGTCTGCCCGCACAATGGAAACACCAAGAAGCGTGCAGCTAACTCACCCTGCCATTTCTGGATGCTCAGTCTTTCGGTCAAGAGAATGCTCTTCTACAGAGCATTCTGAGTGCCCTAGATTCGGGCAAAGAAAATCATTAAAAACAGAAAAAGAAAACTTTCAGATTTGGAAGCGAAGGGTTTGCCATTGAAAGGTGAACTTAATCTCATAGTTAAGAAATCCTCCAGCTGGGTGAGCGCCTCAGAAGCAGTAACTTTGACCTAAACTTAGAAAAGTCAGTCCACACAGATGCTATTATGTGTATTTTGGACAGAAGGGCCCAAAAGCACTCGAATTGATGGACATGGAAGCTTGAAAAGAACTTCTTCCCAAACCATGAAGTAAACGTCAGCTACGAAACATTTTCTCAGCAGTCAACACACAAACACTTTCTTAAAATAAGATCTCCTGGAGGAAGAATCAAAGGAGAAGTACTCTTAGCACGTGTCTTTCCCCAAATAAAACGATGACACCATATGCCCCGAAATGGTCTCAACTGGTTGCCTCTTTGGCGGCTACCCTTGGGCTGATGATTCTCAGAGCCAAGGAAACGAGCCTTGAGAAGAATGCTGATGTCAGCTCCACGGCTGAGACAGTTGTGTACTATATTTATAGTATCAACAGTTTAATTGGGAAGTTGGTACTAATGATGTAAACACAGCTGGCACATTTTCAGTTTAAACAGACACGACTCATTCGCAGACATAACTAGCATTTGTTTGCTCAACACCAGTGTTGGGTGGCGTTCAACAACGTCTCGGAATCCACACAAGGTGCCTGGATGGCTGCATCCAGAAGGAAATCCAGGCGCTTATAGGCACGCACGTGGGCAAATCTGTCGCAGGCATTCGTAGACATTCTCAGATCAAATAATATTTCTCTGAGAAACTGTGCAAGATGGTCAATGGATACAGCATGAAACATGAAAGTAAAGGTTAGTTCAACAAGTGTACAGAGAAGCTAAGGAGAGGCATCCTCTGAGTTTTCTTGGGGTCAGCTTCATGCTTAGCATGCAGACCGAGGAGGCACCCTGCCATGTCCAAGAAATCAGCTTCACTACTTATAATATCACAGTGGATGGAATTCCTGTCAACACTGAAAGTGCAGACATCTCTCTCACTCTATATTATTGCTGCAGAGGTGATCATGAAAGCTGCTTTTGCGTGCTCTGAAAGTCATGGGATCTGCTTCTTGGTGACCATAAAGAGAGACTTCAGTAGATCGTGTGCATGCCCAAGTGAGTCTGTCTTTTGATAACCAAAGCAAGGCTGTGACATCAAGGGTCCTGTGCAAATTTGAAACCTGAACTCACTGAGCAGCTGTTTCTGAAAATAATTCCACGATGGAATGAGTTGTATCTGTGATCTGGATAGATTATAATCACTTCTCTCTTCCCAAACCCAGAAATGCTTAACATTTGATTATTATGTTAAATTAAGTTTCATATTCAGGAGCAAGATATTATAATTAATGTGTGGAAATCCATACATTCCTTTAATGGGATCATCAAGAACTCAATGTAGAGAAAGTACAGGCTTATGAATGATGTCTGAAATGAGAACAGAGCTCAGGAAGAATGGAGCCAGGCCAGGACCAACATTCCTTCCAGTGAAACATCCAGAACCAAGGTCCTGATCACATATTTGAGCCATTCACTCACATCCCTCCTGGTGCTTTAAAAGTACTTCTTCTTTGGATAATGTGGCCACACAGCAGCTAGGCCCAGGAATGCTCCATCTTCGATAGAAAAGGAAATCTATCTATAATGAGCTAGAAGAGTTCATGACAAACACGGAAACACATGCCTCCAAAAGAGGAGAAAGTGCAGAATATGAAGTGCATGTGGAAGAAAAGATAACCAGAATGGCAATAAAGAGGCACTGGAGCCACAAATTAAAAATAATAAAAAAAAATGCGAGACATTTGTGGTCACCATTAGGCCCACAGCGATTGCAAACTTCAGGACTGAATTATGAAGTTGTTATGAACATTGCCAGGTTTTCGGCAGTTTGAGAAAGGAGGCTGCTTTTTTGTCTTGTGTTTGGAGTCTGAAACATTTAGGAAAAGAGACAATGGAGAAAAGCTCAGGGGCCTCGTGAGAGTTTTCCTCCATCATTACCCACACTGTAGCTTCTGCCAAAGTGAAGGGACAAAGACAAAATATTCCACCGAAAGGAGAGAAGGTGTCTCATGTCCATGTGCCCTGGAAAATACCAAACTGGGATCAAAATTGGGAAGCCAATCAGAATGTTTCAGATGCCTTCCAAAGGGATTCATGCCACTAAATGTATCAGATAACCGGAATAGGTTTGCCACCACCAACGTTTGGCTAGGAAAGATAGACGTTTTTGTTGTTGGTATTTATTTTTTTTTAGTGTTAAAATTCCATTTCTTCAGAATGATGGTTGTAAAACAAGGAGGCCTCCAATTTACAGCAGAGTCCCAGAATCCACATGTACCCAGTAATTCTTTATGGATGAATCCCATAACAAAAATCTTGCCTACTTTTCTAAATGGACACAGATGCTGTGTGTGATAATCAAAATGCATTTTAATATGACTGAATGTACGCTGTGTTTTCTTAATGCATAAACAGTAAGTGTATCTATCATCTTGTCAGAGTGACATCTTGCTAGTTGCTTGACAATGTTGACTTTTACAAAAAGTGGCTATGAAACCAGTCGATTTCCATCAAGTTTTGACAACTGGTAGTACGATGGATCTTTTGGTTCATAAGTTAATAAATGAATACACCAAGACTTTGCTCCATGCCACCTGCCCTACTACCCCTGTAAGGGTAAGAGGTTCAAATATTCACACATACAGGATCCCTTCTTCGGGAGTTCTAGCTGTGGGTATTGTGAATACCTCTCCAACTTAACAGTGTCCTCTCCAGGTATTTTCAAGATAACCCAGAAGACTAGGGAGTGAAGAGCACTCTCAGGGGGTGGGAACTGGGTGTGCTGCAATGAGTGACCCCATGAGGGAGCACCGGATGGCCACCCAGAGGACCGAGTTCAAAGCCAACATCCCAGTGACACCTGATGAGTAATGATGAGCCGAAGAGCAAGACGGCTTCCTCCACCTGCTGTGGCGGAAGGAATCTGATGCCCCTGGCTTCCCGTCACTCAGACCTGGCCTGGCTGCTTTACACACTTAACCTCCACTTTCACGTTGAATGCTCTGCACTTTTCAAAGTCATCTTTGACCCGAAAGTGCCCGAGGGTATCTCTGCTCTGCAACAGTCAGAGAGGGCTCAACTCAAGGTTATTACCAAATGAGAGAGATGAAAGTGCAGGAGCTGACCTTTTCCTCTGAAATGTCAGGTTTCAAGTCTGGGTGTCTTCAGTGTTAGGATGCCTGGTCCGTGTCTGTGTCAGACGCGCACTTGATAAACATCGTGCATGTTCAAGGAATGAAAGGTGCACGGGAACCCTACATTCGCAGGCAGGGCTGTGAGCCAGAGCTCCCTTCCCACATGGGCAATAAGAGCTATTTTACCCAGAACTAGGCATTGGAGTTGGGCTATTTCTTACTCCTTTTGTCATACTTGTGTGCTTCCAAAAACCCTTAGGAGAAGAATCTCCACGCGGCCAACCCTTTGCTCTCAGTCAAATGTTCAGAATGTCGTTCTGGTCACTGAATCCACAGATACTTCCCACCAATGCTGGGATGTCCCTGATAAATAGACTGACTACGTTTGCAAACTTGAGTAGTATCCAAGCCCACGGTAGCTTTGTCCTTTGGCAAGACCGAGCCCAAGGAAATGCCAAGCTCACCCATTCCCAAGGTGGGCAGGGCAGATATTGTCCAGAAATACTGTCCGGGTCATGATGCCTAGCGAGGAAGCAGCCCTATCCTTTCTTTTCTCTGGGTGGGTGTGACTTCTGTCTGCATTTCACCATGGTGCAGGGCCACGCTGTCATTGGCACATCCATCACCACAATAGGGACCTCTGAACCCTCACCACGGGTTCCAGGAGGGTGCACACTGCAGGCTGTAAGGCGGACTGAGAAGCCTCTAGCTTTTGTTCTGTTTTGTCTTTTAACGAAGCTTTAGAACTGATTATTCTCTACAGCTGCATCAGACCTCTCAATGCACAGTGCCTGGGAAAGGGTGAGGTGTGCCTGAACTCGTCATGACAATCAGGCAACTGCCTTCGAGAGAAGAACCAAGATGAAACATGATGTTTATTTTTTAGTCATGACATGGGGTTCGGGCCCCTCAATTTGGGATCACCAATGGGCTTGTTTCAGCAGGGTATTATCTGGGAGTTAATTTTTCATTTGATATTTCAGTTACTAATTAGAAAGAAACCATTTGGCAGAATGGAAACATGGTGGGCACTGACAAATAAATTTATACTAAAATCATGGAAAGAGCCTAACCACCATATACCCACAAAATAGGACCTAAAATCCTCCCTTTAAAACGTCTCAGGACGTATTATAAATAGCAAGAACTTACATGGAGGGCAGGGCTCTGGCCCCAGAGCAGGCACCGCAGGGGAGAAAGTCGGTACTTACGCCAAACATTTGTCGGAGGTCCGGGTCACGGAAGCGGAAGGGGATGTTGGAGACGTGCAGGCGCTTGGGCTGGGACTTGTTTTCTGTATTTTCAGAAGGTTGTGTCTGAGGCTGGCCATCCGTCGGCGCTGCGTCATCTGTCTGCTAAAAGAACGAGAGCAAAGCAAAGAGGCACTGAGTGGACCCAAATGCTCTTTTCCAGAATGCTTTTGCATCCCCTACATGGTAGGAAAATGCCAGAGCAAAGGAATAAAGGCAGGAAGGAACTGCTGAGTGGTTTTCATTCTTGCAACAAAAGTTTACTGAACTCTGAGTGCCCATCATGGACCTAGAGGTGGGGTTTAACAGTGAGCAAAGCAAACACCCCTGTCTCCACGGAGCATATTTCTCATTTCTCTGGGGGGGTGGGGGGGGGACGGACTGCCGCATTAATAAATAAATATGGGCCAGAACTGGTTTGGCTCAGTGGATAGAGTATCGGCCCAAGGACTGAAGAGTGGAGGGTTCAACCCCGTCAGGGGCACGTACCTCGGTTGCAGGCTGGACCCCTGGCCCTGGTCCAGGCGTGTGTGGGAGGCAACCAATCGATGTGTCTTTTTCACATCAATGTTTCTCTCTATGTGTCTCTCCCCCTCCTTTCTACTCTCTCTAAAAATCAATGGGAAAATATCCTTGGGTGAGGATTAACAACAAAAATACATAAAGAAATAAATAAAAATAAATATGGAGCCGACAAAAGGAGAAAAGCACTAAAGGACAAAAAATATAGCAAAGGAATGGGCTAGCTGGTGCTGGGAGCTGGGTGGGGAATTTTAATCGGCCGTCAGAGAAAAGTGTCATCAGGAAGGGGATAGGACTCATAAAGGCAGGGGAAGGTGGATCCCTTACTCAAGGTTGTTCAAAATCTTAGGATACAGCTACATAATTGTTGAGGTTGTGCAGATAAAATATTAGTATATATACTAAAACATTTGAAAAGGCCGTTTGGTATTCTGCAGTCCAAATAGCTATCTGATTGACTTAAATTATTTTATTTTACTTTATGGTTTGAACTTTTGTTTCTTGATTGTGTAGGCTAGTGCTGTCCATTCTAGTTTACTCCATATAACGATTTAAATGTAAACAAATTAAATACAATCTAAAATTCAGCTCCTCAGTCACACTAGCCTCATTTCAAGTGCTCAATAACCACATGTGGCTAGTGGCTTCCATATGGGGCAAGCAGACACAGAACCGCTCCATCACTGCAGAACGTTCTGTTGCAGTAAGTTGGTGTGGACAATGTCACATTATTAGCATAGCTCACCTGCCTCCCATTTCACCCCTCCCAAATAAAAGCCTGCATCACATGCTATTACACTGACACCTTTATATAAACAGGAACTTAGGAGAAAAGTCACAGTAACATTTGGTATCATTGTAGCCATGCCCATACTCTGAGTTCTAGAGTTTCAACATTTCAGAGGTGCTTCATTTTTAGATACTTTCCCTGCAATTAGCACACACTGCCTGTAGGTGGCAGTAGATGCCATCCACGTCAGATACCTGCTTCTCTGAGGCCAAGATGGAAAAACCTATGTGGAAGCTCATCAAATTATGAGCAAGGAATCGTCCTCACTTACTTACAGGCAATTTAGTGGCATATAATTGAGACAAAACCTATCACTGCAGGCAGCCAGCTGTAAAATAATAAAGACAATTTTACAAAGTGAAATAGATATATGCCAAAATAACGTGAGCATAATTAGTGGCTTTCTTGTCAAGTCTTGTATTAACTGGCAGATTTAATTTATTATTTCATTATTCTCCATCTATACATCCTGAATTGCAGTTTGAAGTCAAGACTGCCAGGTGATTGGCACACTACTTTGCAAGCTGGTTTCATATCCAAAGCCCCCTACTAGATGACTTTGTCCGCTCCCAAGTGCAATGTAATGATGGCAACAACAATTATGCATATGCTTTTGGTGTGAGTAAGAAGGAGGATGGTGACAGTTTTCTAGTCTGGAAAATGAACAGTAAGAATACCGCATACTTTAAATGGCTCTGTGAAGATTGAACACAATAACCTATGCCTGCTTGGCAGAGTTCTTGGCTTATGGTGTACAGTCAATAAATAAAATGTAATGCATTTTTTAGAATGATGATTTTTTTAAATATCCAATGAGAGATGTAAAGAGACCCTCTCAGGAAACAAAGAAGAAAGGTCCTCATTTGCTTATGAAACACCTCTTTACTGAGCAACTACTATACACTAGACACAGAAGTTAGTCTTAAAATGCAGTTCCCATTTTAGTACTAGATAAAGAGTTAGAAAGAGTCATCTGTAATATCACTGTTAAATGCTGGGATGAGAGCGAATCCCAGGAGACCAAGTAAACTTAAATCAGGGGCACACAACACTGTTGGAGGTTCTGCAAGGCTTACCAGTTCTACAGGTTAAGTCTGGAGTGGAGGATGCCTAAGAGAAGAGGTGACGGGGCTGGCCTTTGACAGCAGGCGGCAAAGCTTATGCCAGCGTTTCTCAACCTGTGGGTCGTGACCCCTTTGGGGGTCGAACGACCCTTTCACAGGCGTCGCCTAAGACCATTGGAAAACACATATATAATTACATATTGTTTTTGTGATTAATCACTATGCTTTAATTATGTTCAATTTGTGACAATGAAAATACATCCTGCATATCATATATTTACATTACGAATCATAACAGTAGCAAAATTACAGTTATGAAGTAGCAAGGAAAATAATTTTATGGTTGAGGGTCACCACAACATGAGGAACTGTATTAAAGGGTCGCCACATTAGGAAGGTTGAGAACCACTGGCTTATGCAAAGACACAGAGATTCAGGAAGTACGTGTGGACCTCACTGGCCCTGGCCAGAGCGGGTGAGTATGAAGGAGGCACAGGAGAGCACACTGCAGAGGCAGGTAGGGCCTGGATCATGGATGACCCTGTTAGCAAGAGTATACACTTCACCCTACAAGCTCTGAAGAGCCACGTAAAAATCATAGCAGGGTGACATGACCAGTACATGAGCCACGGTAGACTCATGGCAAATGCCCGTGTAATGGCCGGCTGACTCACTGACTGAAGGGGTGAATGGAAGATGAGTGTATGAATAAACAAAGAATGAAGGAGTGAATCATCAACCTCGCCACCTTCAAGTAATCATGGAAGAAAAATATTGATACCCAAACAAAAACAGGAACCGTGTTTTCTCCTCTGGTGGTGAGATTTGGTTACATGTCCACAAGGTGAACATGTCCTTGAATCATGGGATTGTCACTTTTCGGAGTGGCCAAGGATCTTAATACTCTGAAGTTTTCAGAGGCGGCAGCTGAGACTGAAACATTCTGTCCACTTTTTCCCTCCTGTTAGAAGTTGCTGTTCAAATGCAAATTGCAATGAGCTCCTTCCCATTGCCTCCTACCAAGAAGGAAACTTAGATTTGTGCATAACTGCTGGATGTTTCAGCTTAATAAACCTAATTAGGAATTACAGAGATTATGATTAAACATATTAAATGATTAATAGCATTACGCTGCTCATGTGAAAATTAAAATTAATCATCTTTAGTCAAACAGGACTTTGGAGAAATCTTTGTGTTGTTTCCTTTGATAAAAACATACAACGCTCAATTAATCATTTTGTAGTGTGCGTATATATACAATTGCCCAAAAATTGTTATGTAGGAATACCTGTGTGTTAATAGTAATTTTTAAAGATAACATGTAAAATAAAAAAGGGTTTCAGACACTGTGAGTGAATGGACTTGAAAGGATGTCGGAATCCAGAGGTTGAAAAAGAAAAACAGGAAAAAAATTTTTTTTCAGACTGAGCATGTCTGGTTATGCAGTGCGCTTTAACACAAAGGACTAGACTGCAGTGAGGACCAAATGCAATGGGAAGGTAACAGCCACTACACAGCCTCCCATTTCGGGGGTAGACCTGCGGGAGTGAGTCCTACCGACTCTCATATTGAGAATATTGGGTGTGAGTTTCCTTTGTCCCTTTTCCTGAGAACTTGCAAGGAAAACATACTCACACCCCTCTGTTAGTCTCCTAAAAAATGACCACACACTTGCTGGCTTAAAGCAACAGACGTTTAATCACTTAAGTTCTGGGGCCAGAACTCTACAAAGAAGTTGCCTTAGGGCCATGCCCCTCCAGGGGCTCCAGGAGGGAACCCTTCCTGGCCTCTCCTGACTTCTGGTGTCTCCTGACTGCATCTCTCCAACCAACGTCTGTCTTCAAGGTCATATGGCCTTCTTCCCTCCATGTGTCTGAGGCGCGACTCTCCCTCTTCCTTTTTCTTCTTATAAGGACAGTGGTCACTAGATTTAGAGCTCCCCCTAAGTCCAGAATGATCTCGTCTTGAGATCCTTAATCACATCTACAAAGACTCTTTTTCCCAAATAAGGTCACATTCACAGGTTTACGAAGGTCAGGACACGGAGATATATTTTGAAAGCCACTATTAAACCAGGACATGGACGTCTTTTTTAAAGCCTCCATTAAACCCGCTAGCCCCCTATAAACAAGCCCCCGGTGGCTGTACAGTGAGTCGCTGTTATCAAGGAGTGAGTGTACTTCAAACCACATTAGGCAGCACGAGGCTGTCCAAGGGGTTGGCCTCAAACCAGGTCCAAGAGAGGAGAAGGGAATGTCCGTTCCTGCCAGCGCTACCCCAGGCTCCCATCTGTCACACTGGCCACTTTAATGAGTTCCCAAAGTGGACAGGAGGCCCAAGTCTTCCCTTCACCAGCCCAGGCTCGCAAGGCAGACTGCCTCTCCGCACCTGGATGCAAGGATGCTGGGCTGAGAAGCCCTCGGCCTCCCAAACCATCAACGCCCTCTAAGGACCAGGGCGTGTCTGCAGTTCCCTGAGCCCAGCACCACACATCCCACAGATGGGTTAAGCCCGTGGTCGGCAAACTGCGGCTCGCAAGCCACATGCTTTGGCCCCTTGAGTGTGGCTCTTCCTAAGCCTTAGGAGTACCCTAATTAAGTTAATAACTATGTTCCTACCTATATAGTTTAAGTTTAAAAAATTTGGCTCTCAAAAGAAATTTCAATCGTCGTACTGTTGATATTCGGCTCTGTTGACTAATGAGTTTGCTGACCACTGGTAAGCCATTG